CAAGACTCTTCCAAGATTAGCAAGATAATGCAAGACTCTTCCAAGATTAGCAAGATAGAGCAAGACTCTTCCAAGATTATCAAGAAAGACTCCAAGAAGCATCAAGATTAGCAAGATAATCCAAGATCCATGCATCTAAGGAGATCGGACGGTGGAGATCAAACCAAGGAGAGTTCGATCCTATCAGATTAGATATTTAGATATATCCTAGTTGTTATTTCCTAGTTCTTTTACAATTTTCAAATGTATTATAAATACTGCTATTTTCCCAAAATTATTCATCAATTCATTCTTCATATTTTCAAAATTTCTTCAAGTTCTCTTCTTCCTATTTTCGCCACCTTTTCTCTCTCCTAGAGAATTCGGTGTTCTTCGCTAGAAGCTAGCGATCGCCCGGTACTTGCATAGCCAGCCCGGTTTCTCATTGCTACCACGCTGCGTCAATATTGACCTAAAAGCATGTATGAAGCTTGGGTATCCAATTTGAACCCAACTAAGCCTAGCCTGAGCTTTTGCACAGGTTGGACTGGGATTTGGTCATGTCCTTCCTAATAGCCAAAGCAGATTCATCCCTATCATGATAGAACAAGTTACTAGGAGTATGGGAAGGGAGAGGAGTAACTGGAAATCCCATTTTATTTTTTTCAATCCATTTTACTGCTAAAATCCATTAAAATAGAGTGTATATACCAGGAAGCAAAATGACAAGGAGAACTTCAAAGAAAACACAAAACCATTTCACTGTGATATGGTGCAATTCACAATCTGTTATGTCTGTGTGTAATGAGATGAATAAGGGCCAACGTAGATATTTGAATAAAACAAGAAAATTATTGAACAAGTGTAAACCTGTTATTGTCAACAGCAAGGCTGAAAAGTGCCATAACTCCAAATTCCACAGCTTTCTCGTTAAGATCATGAACAACCAACCCCAAAAACCGCACAAGGGCCTCAACAAACCCATTGGTTCCCATAAAAATTCCGGCCTCTTCATCATCCTTCAGCAAGTGTCGTATATGTTCCACTAGTTTGAATTACATCCTTAGGTCATTTCCTTCATACGAGACAGTTAGGAAATTCTCATACATCTGAAACAGGTCTAGTTCAGAGTTTCGTTTGGGTCAGGCATATTTTCAATCTCATTTCTTTCAATCTTCTCAACAATCCTATTCTCCTCAACAGGCACTACCTTGATTCTCTTCAACTTATAGGAGTTAACACTCTCTATGGATCTAGAATTAGTTGATTCGCACTCAGATAATGCAAGCCTCCAGTAGTTTAGATCAAGACTTGTGAATTTTCTTGTTCCAGGTATCACTAAATGTGGCAGCTGCAAGGCTTGCACAACACATTGAGAAGGGAAATGAAAATGGGCCATTTATCAGCATTGTGGCATCATGTTCAAATCTATGGGTCCTTATTCTGGATGCAAGCATTGGTTTCACTACTCAATTTTATGAGCTTTCACCTTCTTTTCTTCATAAAGCAAGTATCTACTTGCACCTTATTTTATGAGCTTCCACTGTTTCATGTTCATGTTTGGGAATGCTTGGGCATGGACAAGTGGGTTGGTGCGTGAGGGGCAAGGAGTGTGCCTGTGGCTTGACTCAATTARTTTCTTGAACTTGTGMCAATATCATGGAATGCCATCAAGAAACTATTAAATTGACATAGCTTATATTCCCATTGACATATTATCAGAAGAATTTCAAGGAAATCTCTACTTCCAACTTTACCTTCTCTAGATATGGTNGAAATCTCTACTTCCAACTTTACCTTCTCTAGATATGGTTATTATGTTTCTCACTAGTATTAAARAAATCACATTCCTTGAGTAAAGCACAAAAGTAGAGTTGATTCAGTTCCTAATTTTCAAGCCGTCTTCTGTTAAGTTGATTTGTTTCATATGGATGGAATTTTCTAAGCTTGTTAAGGGAAAATTCTGCAACTGGGAAAACCTATATAGGTATTTATGTTCTTTTTTCCCTTTTCTTACAGGTTTGTAGCCGATGTCTATATAGGGAAGTGTTACAGGGTTTGGCCTACTGACCATATGCTGATCAAATATTGGGATAAGAAAATACCAAGATTGAGACTTAGTGAATGGAAAATGATTTGGTTGTTTACATGGTACATAAATTTAAGAATGTCAGCTTTTTGTGTTGTTTTTCGAAAAAAGAACAGGGCCTTAGTAGTAACTTGTTTTTGTTAAAAAGGAAATCGACTAAAACAGTAATATCACACTAACATACAAAATTGACAGAAAACAACCAATAAACCTAAGACATAAGATGAATAAAAGCAGAAAGAACCACACTAACTACACACAAATAAATCGAAACACCACATCTATGTAACTAGATGACTCAAGCAACTAACACCATCACATAACATACCTATTAATCAAAACAAAGGAGTTGAAATTCATTCCCCATACTCCAAACAACCACAACATGCTGCTGTATGAGCAGCTTTGTTTCCATTGTGACACACAAATTGAAATTAATATCCAATTAGTTACAAAGGTATTGAATATCCATCACTACGCATAAGCTAGTGGTAACTAAGACTCATATTTTTAAGAGTTCTTACATTCTTCATCAATGTTTCAAGTCAACAAGAACTGCTTTTTGATCTTATGAAGTCTTGTGGCAACTTCTTTCATGGTAATCCTATCTTCAGGCAATTTTCTTGAACAATCCAAACATAATTCCATGATGGAGACAAAACTTTGTTGTCTCGTAGGTGAATCATTATTTTCTTCTCTACTAATAAGATTTTTGTCAACTACTTTCATTACTTTATTTGGGAGAGACATATGTACCCATTTTCTTAGACTTAATTCTCCAACAAACATTTCATCTAAAGGCTTCTTTCCTGTAAACATCTCCATCAACATGATCCCATAGCTATAAACATCACAGCTTGTTGAAACTCTTCCTTCAGACCCATATTCTGATTGCACCATATCCAACAAATTATCACGTGAAACAAGAGTAGTAAAAATAAAAACTTCTTTACAATTGTATAACTAAATAGTATTATGCAAGTAATTAAAAAAATGTCTCTGAGAAGGTTGAATTATTAATCAGGAGTTCATTAGATTGCATACCTATAACCATGCCTAATATGCACAATGGACAATATGAAGAAATAGATAGAAAAGTGGAATTTGATTTAATCAGGAGATATTGGATGGAATTTGATCCTTCATTGAATCTTGGCATTCTCACCTCACAGATCTATACTATGCCCAAGTTCTATAATTTATAATTTACTAGATCCAATGTTTTAAAATGTATATGAGAGATTGGACTGGTCAGTATAGTATTGAACAATTAAAATAGGATGTACTGGTCCAATGAAATTAGTATTATTGCTAAATATATAACCGGTATAATATATCAAACCAGCCCAAAACCAACCTAGAGGCACAAGACACTAATAAACTCAAACCTTTTTTTTAATGAGCAAAGAAATGAAAAAGAAAAAGAAGAAAATAAACAAGACAAAGGCTTTCAACCTCTCTGTCACTTGTACCCTAGCACCACTTTGCTTGGAGACCGGATCTGTGCCTCACACCGATCTCACACATACATCCTACTATGCATTGGGAACATCTCCCGTATTTATAAGTTATTATTCACGGGAAATGTTCCCAATGCACAGTGGATATGCCTGTGAGGCGCCCATGTGAGGAGCAGATCCCGTTCTCCTTGCTTGAGTCAGAATCACCTGCCAACAAGACACATTTCAACCCTCCACCAATGTAGAAGTGCTACCTGGTTAGATCTTTCTGTTTTGCGTATATAAACAAATTAATTCATTATAATTACTTCTTTTTAAGGATAAAACAAACTTTGCAGTCTCAATTTTAAAAGTTTATTATTTCTTGAGGATCAATTAAACAATATGCTAATGAATTTAATCCTTTTTATAGAACAATCTTAATGAAATCTTTAATTTTTAGTCCTATACGATGAACTAATGAAATTATACAAAACGATAATTAGAACTAATTCTTAATATAAATAATAAAATATTAATAGATGAGCAAATCCCTTAAGCATTTATATAATACCTATTTTCTTTTATTCGTGAAGAAATATAATACCTATTTTCACAAAGTACAAGTTGCATGCTTGGACATGGAGTAACATGAATGATAATACCTAGAATTTGAAATCTCAAGCATGTTAATGACAGATTAAGAAACACAACCCACACGCCTAAAAGCTTGTTGATATGGAACTATGATAAATGGGCGTTGTTTTGCATCTTTTATTTGTAACCATGATTTGCATTTATGAATTTTTACATTGTCTCATTAATTAGCACTGCATATTCATAGAACAAATTGTGTCCATGAAAACTGATGCAAATCTTGTACAACAAATTCCTCCTACCAAAATTCTACTTGGAGATCTCATCATTTTTCTCCCTACCTTACTGATCCCAAATTAAATAAATACCCTTTCTCCGAGAAAACCTTAGTCTGGATCACTTGCAACAAAATTCATTTCAACAACATGATATCACACCGCACATCTTATACATGGCAGTGTTTGAGTCATATCCTAGTCATCCAACCTTGCCATGTGTACACCACACCCAACGAGTTCGGCCAGATACACATCGGCCACGTTAGCTGTATCTCTCAACACTCACTAGACAACAACACAAATTGACAAAATTCACGGATGGATAAACTCCAAGACACTTTGGGCTGTAACCCATGAGGAGACCCGGGGAGAGCGAAGTCCCCACGTCAGCAGTATCTCTCAACACTCACTAGGCAACAACACAAATCGACAAAACACACAGATGGATAAACTCCAAGACACTTCGGGCTGTAACCCATGAGGAGATCCGGGGAGAGTGAAGTCCTGCATGGACAAAGATAATGACCCCCATCAGGGAAGCCAAAGTCTTCCCAGAACCCTGAGAAGAAGCCCCATCTCTTCAGAACCACAAGGAATCAATCTGACTACAACACAAACACTCATCTATTTAACGGCATCCTTCCGTTAAGGTAAAGGACCTTTAACTCTCCACACTCTAGCTCTCTTGCTCTCTAACTATTCTCCTTGGCTCAGACTAGGTTGGCTTAATCCACCTCATCCTCCTATTACTAACTTGAGCATCCAAGTGTCTTCTCGAGAACCTCATCCTTGGGCCTTTGACTCTTTCCTAATTGCAAATCTCCTTGGTGCACAACCTTGTCCTTCCACCTCGGCTTTGCTTAGTTAGCAGGTTATTTGCTACACGTTTGGTTAGATAGACCTCGGATCAGATAGCATTAGATTGGTGCTATCAGTGAGAACCAACACAAAAAACCTTCAGTTTCCTACCTTTTCTCTCCTCGTGCATTGAAAGCGATCATGCATCCCAAAAGCACCTCCGACCACTCTAGCACTTAGTCCCCATCTCGAGGATCCCATTCTTGATGTAACTCTCTCAATGAGAGGCTTGGCCGTAGAATCCAGTGAACCCCAAAGAGTTCAATGCCTTAGAGTAGAAGTAGATGGCCTCATTGTGATGATGGAAGAGTTAGGGCAATAGGGATACACCCCAACAACACAACAGCCAATCCCATAGGTGCCTACTATGGCCCATCCTCATGCCAAGGACCCTAAAAGGTGCCCAATAGATCATTCAAAGCCTAAGCTTGAGTGTAATCAACCCCAGCCATCTTAGAAATCTAAGTCCCAAGCTCAAACCCGAGACAATGATGCTCACTCTTGACCCCACCATTCCAACATCCATACCCCTGTCAAAGAATGCCTCGGTCCATAAGTATAACACCACCGAAGACAACCAAACATGCAGACCTTAGCACCAAGATCAGGGATATGCAGGAGCAACTAAATGAGTTGAAGCAAAGACATGTTGACCAAAGAGCACCAGTCGTAGAAGCTCGTCCCCTAAAAGAGTCGCGACCTTCAAAGGATCTAGTCTTCACACGGGAAATCATGGACAAGATACCCCCTACAAAATGATATTCCCCTTAGTTCAAAAATATGATGGTGCCTTAGACCCTGCCGATCACCTAGAAGGGTTCAAAGCCATCATGCTTCTCCACAACACTTCTAAAGCCTTGATGTGCAAGGCCTTTGCTTCTACACTCCAAGGTGTCACTTGGCAATGGTACGCCACACTCCCCTTGTGATCGATAGCCACCTAGGACCAATTTGAAGAGCCATTTCTAGCACAATTCACAAGTAGACGTCGGCACTAGAAGACCTCAACCAATCTCATGCAAACATGACAAAAGGAGGGTGCATCCTTATGGGAATACTTGGCGCAGTTCAACACCGAATCCATTCAAGGCAAGAACTTGAACTATTATGTGGCCATGGCGGTCTTAATGAACAGTTTGCGGATGTCTAGATTTAGCTTCTCCCTACAAAAGAAGCCCCCCATTGAACTAGATGAGCTCATGGAGCATGTATAGAAATACATTAACATTATGCAAGTTCAGGCGTAGTGCAAGCAAGATTGAAAAGACCGACACAATAGGAAGCACAAGGATAGGAGTGATAACCGAATTGAAAATGATCACTAGAGGACAAATCACTACATAAACCGAAGGCCAAGGACTCAACCCTTGACCTTCAAGAACTTCACTCAACACTACTCAAACTAAGGTGCTATTGTAAATCCACAACCGTCACTTCGTACAACGCTTGAAGAAGTTGAAGTCTCATGGAAGTAGGACCGGGGACAAGTAGTACAAGATTTACCGAAACCATGGCCACGACACCAAAGATTGTTAGGACCTTCACAACCACATAGAGGACCATGTCCAAAGAGGGGACCTCAGGCACTTTGTGGATGACTGTCGAGCACTGAACAGAGATAACTCAGGTTAGGGGTGAGCATTATTCAATTAAAACTGAAAAAATGAACCAAAAAATTTTGATTGAAGTTTTTTTAATTTGATTTTTTCAATTTTTTGTTATTTTGGTTTTGTAAAATTTTGGTATCAGTTTTGGTTTTCAGGTTTAGAAATTCGGTTAACCAAAAAAATTGAATTAGTCAAACTTTATTATCTGTAATATATATATTAACATATAATACATATATAATATGTATAAAATATATTATATTGTATTATATTATGTATTAAAATATATAATTTGTTATACACATTGTATAATATATATTAAAATATATATAGTGTTGAAATTCGGTTTTAACCAAAATAATAGAAAAACAAACCGAAAATTTTGGTTTTCAGTTATTTCAGTTTCGGTTTGGTTTTTCATTTAAAATTTTGGTTTATTCGGATCAGTTTTTAACCGAATAAACTGTTTGCTCACCCCTAACTCAAGTTGCACTAATGTGCTTGACAACCGAAGTCAAACTTCAGTTGGAGTCGTCATTGTCATCTCAAGCAAGTCAATGACGCTCAGAGAGGAGAGCCCCTTAAGCGAGGAGACTACTGCCAAAACTAGTTGAAATCCTTGTAACTAATATTTGAACAATAAAAGTTAATTCTTGATGATATGTGTTCAACATACTACACACACCAAGCGCCATCCACAAAGACCCAATCGAACCCTTGGGACTCCTATCTCAAACTAGGCATAGTGGGAACGGTGTCCCCGCCAGTCATAGCCTAAGGACAACCAATGAAGACCTCTCAATGGCGTCAAAACAGCCTTAAGGAGCCTAAGACCCATGGCAAACCTCTTGACCTGGTGTTGAGGGAGTCGACCAAGCACCATAACGAACCCACTAAGGATCAACCAACCAGCCCCGAGATGACTAGGCTCCATCAAGCTCCCTATGAAACCTAGGAGCTTGGAAGTGCCTTGACCAACTAGCTAGGCTTAGGGGTAGACTACGCCACCAAGTTTGAGACCACGACCAGCCTAAAACTGAGGCTACCTAACCATTAAGCACCAGCCAACCTAAAACTTCAACCACCTAGCCATCATGCCCAAGACCTCGACCAACCTAAGACCAAGATAAACTAGCCATCATGCCCAAGACCTTGACCAACCTAAGACCGAGGTAACCTAGCCATCAAGCTCGAGACATCAGACAATAGAAGGCCAAGGCCATTTTGCCAACCTAGGAAAATCAAAGCCAAAAAATTCCCAAAGTTGGTTCCTAATCAGTTGAGCAATACTCAAGTTCAAGGAACTAGCCACCCGAAGACTAAAGCTAGTTCCTAATCAATCAAACGTACATCCCAGACCCCAACCTCCCTAAGGACCTCAACCAATTTGGCTTCACATTCGATCCCCTCGACCTTGGCCTCCCCGGCCTTGGCCAGCTTCACACCACCTTTGGTTTCCCAAATCTTGGCCTCCCTAAGGACCTCAACCAACCTAACCTCACCTCCAGTCTCCATGACCAATATGGCCTCACCTTTGATCTCCCAAACCGTGGCCTCCTCGACCTCCTCAACCTCCCTAGGGACCTCGGTTAATTTGGCCTCACCTTAGGTATTCCCGACCCGGCCTCAACCAACTCAGAATCGCTTTTGGTCTCCTCAACTTTAGCCTCTCCCACACCGTCAAAGTCTTCAACCTCGACCATGTTGACATCGATCTCCAACACAACGAGCCCAACGACCTCTAGTTGAGGTATTGGCTTAGACTCATTACTCGAAGCAGAATTACTGGAATGGAAACAAAAGGAATAAAAGAATGAGAAAGAAGACATCTTACCGAAGTAGAGAGCGCCAAGCACCTGAAGCACTAGACTCAATTAGGCCAAGCCTCGATTGGTACTAGAATTTTGACAAGAGTTCCATAGCCGAACATCTGAAGCATTCATCCTCAAGACCTCATCCAAGCACTTCCTCCTTGACTTTAGAACGAGGGGACTAGTGTTTGAATCGTATTATAGTTGTCCACCCTCACCACGTGTACGTCACACCTAATGAGTTCGGCCAGATACACATTAGCTATGTCAACAGTATGACTTAGCACTCACTTGGCGATAGCACAGATCAGTGAAACTCACGAATGGATAAGCTCCAAGACACCTTGGGGCATAACCCATGAGGAGACTTGGGGAGAGCGAAGTCCTACATGAACAAAGATAAGAACCCCTATCAAGGAAGCCGGAGTCTTCTAAGAACTTCGGGGGGCAACCCCATCACTTCAGCCCTACAAGGAGTCAATTCGACTACAACACAGACACTTGTCTATTTAAAGGCATCTTTCCCTCAAGGTAAAGGACTTTGAGCTCTCTACAATCTAGCTCTCTTGCTCTCTCACTATTCTTATCGACTTGGACCAGCTCGCCCCTTACAACTTTGCTTAACCGACCTCATCTTCCTCGGCCCTCTGACTCTTTCTTGATTGTAGATCTCCTCGGTACACGACCTTGTCCTTCCACCTCGGCTTCGTCCAGTTGATAAGATTATCTTTTTGCATGTTTGATTCGGAGCACTGCAGTTCGACACACCTCGAATCAGACAACATCAAACAAGTTCCACTTTTATGGTGGGTCCCAGTCTCATGGTGAGATGTGCGGTCTTAAATCGAGTTGATAAGGGGTTGGAATGTGTTTTGTTGGTGGAAAATCCCAATTCCCTTTTGATAGCCAGGTTGTTGAATTTAGATAGCCTAATTCTGTGCCCTTTCCCCTACCTCAACATGGAGGAAACATCATGTTACCTTCTGTTTTATTTCCCACAAATAAACAACATGAAGTAAAATCCAAAGCAAATTAAAAATAAACCAGAATTTGCATTCATGTCAGTGCACCTACACTCCCATTGGAGCAAAATAAAATTGTACTACAAACAAAGAGCTCTAAATTACACTAACAGTTGTGTATAGATTGAATTGGCTATTACCAATTTCTATGTTCGACCAAAACCCAACTATTTGTCTAGTTTGGTTTCTAAAGAATTGCTCTTTATTTTATTGGGATTGATCATCTAAGGCCGAAACTGCAGGTTGTTAACTAAATGATGAAGATAAGGCTTATCAAAAAAAGAAAAAGAAAAAAAAAAACTAAATGTTGAAGATAAGCAATGACCTATGACGATAATGAAGATGATTTATAGAGCTAAACATATTGGCCATGCATATTTGTATATAATAACAGTGTACTAATGATAGATTTTGTATGCAAGTAAAACTCTTACCAGGTGCTACGTATCCTATGCTTCCCAAGGTCTTCGTTTGTGCTATAGATTGATCATTTGCACTTAAGATCTTTGCAATGCCAAAGTCACCCACATGAGCTACCATGTCTTCATCAAGGAGGACATTACTGGGCTTTAGATCACAATGCACCACAAGCTCTGTTAGGTTATGGTGTAGATACTCCAATGCTGAGGCAATGTCAATCATGATATTTATTCTTTGGTGGAGATTCAAGAAATAGTTCTGGCTATAAAGCCATTTTTCAAGGCTCCCCTGTGGCATATATTCCATGATCAAAGCTCTAAAATCAAGATTGGAACAACTGCTGATTACTTTGACTAGATTTCTATGCCGAACATTACGCAACACCTGGCATTCAGCATCAAAACTTTTAATTGCTCCCTCAAGTTGCAGATCCAAAACTTTCACAGCAACAATGACTCCATCAGACAATGTAGCTTTGTAAACTGAACTGAAACTCCCTGTTCCAAGTAAGTTTTCATGATGGAAGTTGTTTGTTGCTTGTAGTAGCTCATAGTAGGAAATCGTTCTATGCTCTATTGCATGCAATGGATCAACATTTGGGGGAATATCATTCTTCCTTTTCATTCGACGTTTCAACAGCAGAAACAAGAGAGCAAAAATGATTGCAGAGGAAACAATGGTAGGAAGAACAAATTTAAGCATACGAAATTTTGTCTTTCCTTTTCCTGCAAAATGAACGGTACAGGTTGGGACTTTAAATTTTGATGAACCACAAAGCGCTTCATTCCCTAGGAAAGATTCTGACGTAAAGTTGGAAAATGGCCCTCCACTAGGAATTTCTCCTTCAAGCCTATTATGTGATAGATTCAGATAACTGAGAAGCAAAAGTTTCTCCATGGACTTGGCAATGTTGCCTGATAGATTATTAAAAGAGAGATCCAGGTACTCCAAACTCACCAAATTACCCAATGATTCTGGAAGAGGACCTTGAAACGAATTTTGTGAAAAGCTCAAATGATTTAGCCTTTGGATATTACCAATGGTACCAGGAATGCTACCAAAGAACCGATTCCCAGATATATCCAGTTGCACTAAGGTCTTCATGTTTCCCACTGCTGCAGGAAGATTCTCATGCAAAGAATTATCTGACAAGTTCAAAATTAAGAGATTTGGAATAGTCCATAGGCTGAAAGGCATTGGAGATGTTAACATATTGGACGATATGGAGAGCTCTTGTAGCTGACGGAGATTCCCTATGCATTTTGGTATTTGTCCAGAGAGCTTATTATCGAAGAGGTCCAGTTCACCCAATTGTGTCAGAGAACAGATCTCATTTGGTATGGATCCTTTTAGGTTATTTCCTTCAAGATGCAACCTTTGAAGCTTCTTTAACCCTTTTATCGTTGATGGAATGGTCCCACTGATATCATTGTAATCAAAACCTAAAGCGATTAAATTGCTCAAATTACCAATTTCTCTAGGAATACTTCCCCTAATTTGGCACCCTTCTGCCACAAATATGCTAAGAGAAGTTGATAAATTCCCAATAGAATCGGGAAGGATTCCATTCAGCTGGTTTATCCCTATATTCAAATGCTCTAAGAACCTACAATTTGTTAATGAACTGAGAAACACAAGTTCTGGAGTGTTTGGTTGATTAGTTAGTTGGTTACCCACTAAGTTGAGAAACTGGAGTTGTTGCAGATTCCCCAACGATGTCGGCACTGATCCACTGAAGGAATTCATAGCCAGGTCCAGATAAGTTAACAGGGAAGCATTTGTGATTGAAGCAGGAATTGGTCCGCTAAGGCTGTTATTACGTAGGTACAATTCTTCAAGTCGGTAAAGATTTCCCACATTTGAAGGAAGATGCCCAGACAGGCCATTATCATCTAGGCCAACCAATTCAAGAGTTGAAACATTAAAAATCTCTTGTGGTATTGATCCCGTAAGATAATTCATGTGAAAGTTCACCATTTGGAGATTTTGAAGGTAACCCAATTCTTGTGGAATTTCACCAACCATGTAGTTTTGACTCAACTCAACTATAACAAGATTTGAAAGGTTTCCTATGGATGGAGGAATGGTACCCGTCAAGAAATTCATGTAGCCAGAGAAGCGCCTAAGGTTGGACAAATTCCCAATTTCTCTAGGTAGGCTTCCAGTGAAGTTGTTGATATATAATCCTAGATCTTCAAGCCTTCCACACTGACATAAACTCGACGGAATTTGGCCACTGAGTTGATTCATGCCAAGATAAAGCCCTCTCAGGTTCGGAAAGCTATACCCAATATTCACTGGAAGACTACCAGATATGCTGTTGCTTGTGAGAGACAAATACTGCAGAGTAGAGATGTTGAATAAGGTGGAAGGAATGGTACCTGTTAGATGGTTTTCATGCAGAAGTAATTGTCGCAAGTTATGAAGATCTCCAATCTCCAATGGAATGCTTCCTTGTAGGCTGTTGCTGTAAAATGAGAGCACTTGTAGCAAGGATAAGTTGCCGATGGAAGGTGGGATAGTGCCATTGAGACTATTATTTACAATGGCTAAGACACGGAGATTAGGCAACATTCCAAGCTCGCTTGGGACACCACCAGTGAACTGGTTGACTGAGAGTGAAATTTCTTCAAGTTTCCGGCAGTTTGACAAGCTGGGTGGAATCATTCCATCTAACTGATTCCTGGACAAGTCGATTCGTTTCAATCGAGCTAACCGTCCAAGTCCATTGGGCAAGTGTCCATGGAAACTGTTGTTGCTGAGGTCGAGTTCTGCAAGGAAGGAGAGGTTGCAGAGTTGCGGCTCAATGGTGCCTCCGATGCCCATGTTGGCAAGTGTTAAGGCGGTGACTCTTTGCCTGCGATGGCTGCAAGAAACGCCTATCCAATCACAGAAGGAGGAGTTGGTAGTCCAGTTATCACCCAAGATGTTATCGGGATCAAACAGCAAGATCCGAGCTTTGAAGGCTAGCAGAGCGGATTGATCAGTGAGGTTTGTGGAATAAGCTGTGGCCAGCCATGGAATGCATGAGCATAGCATGCTAACAAGAGAGATAACAAAATAATTCCCCATGATCCTGATCACGAATCGCTCTCTGGTACAGCAGAGAGAGTTTGGAAATTTGAGCTGCAGCAAATCTGTATAAATAACAAGTGGTTTCATGATTCATCTCCACTTTCTGCACGTATTGTTTGTATTTCGTGGTAGAACCGCAACCAGGACTTGTTCACTGTTTTCTGGTTCAAACTGTCTATAGGTCACCAGTTTTCACTGGTTTTTTGGGATTTAAGATTTTGGGGGTGTGACGAAACCAGCTAGGGCCCTGGTCATGGTTCGACTGGTCCAACCAATATGTCAGTCCGAATGCATTTCTCCATCACAGGTTCTCCTTCTCAATTATTAAACTGCAAGGCATAAACACCTAAATTATTTTATATTAAACTGCAAGGCAATAACACCTAAATTATTTTATATTTTAAAATGGTCGATTAATATCAGTGCATTAATATAGGCCATTAAAAAGTATCCAGTCAACATAAAGAAGTCTTTTTTTGTTTTAAGTCCAAATCCGTTGGCATTAAAGAAAGGAAGAGGATAAAAACCATGGCCATGACTCCAAGGGTCAATATTGCTCCTCTTCAAAACTTGAGCACTCAAAATTCAATTATATTCTCCATTTGATATATGTAACAATTCATCACTCATAGGTTGACGGATTCACATTTGTCAAAAAAATGATATTATGTTTCCCAATTTTACAACCAAATAAATAATCTACAAAATATTTTAGGCCACTAAAATGTTGTACTACGTCAACACAAAGATTGTCTTTTATTTAATTAATCCCAAATCCATGGGCATTAATGAAGTGGAGAAAGATGATGACCTTGAGAGTTGAGACCAGCGTTAGCGTTAAATATTGCTCCACTTTAAAAGTTCACCACTGAAAAACTCAATCATATTCTCTACTGGATATAAAACATAGCTGACTCATATATAGGTGTTGGATTCTCACTTATCAGAAATGATACTCAACTAATTCCAATTGCCATTGTTATTCCGGCCGGAGACCAAAAGGAGAAAACTTTATACCTCAGGTATAGTTGCAATAGAAGAAAAGTTAAGGAATTTTTTCAATTAAAGTTTGTTTTCTTCCATTATAAAGATACCGTCTTTTACCAACCTCTTCATATTACATAAACCCTCATTTAGGTTCCATATACCTTCAACCCATGGGACGCTTCCCTTCAGGTGGGTTGACACCATGCTTCTGTCTGGAACCATTGTCGTTGTTCCAAAAAATGGTGCTATTTCAGTGTCATATCAGAAAAAACAGTGCTTCAGAAAACGGGTAATTGTTTAGAACCATTTTTCTATAAAAAACAGTGCTCTAAGCCATACCTCGGAAATTGGGAAAATATGGCTTGGAGTAACGTTAAATTTGGGGTTTCTTAGAACTGCAGCTCATTGCTGTCAATAGGGCAATGATGTGACACTCACTGGATAATGGGTACCAGTGTTGAGAGCATTGGTATCAAAAAGAAAAGTTGTTGTTGCTCCAAAAAACGTCCTACCTAACAACAATGATTCCAAACAAAAAAAAAATAGGCAAAAAATGGTACTTCCAACCACACATCAGCAGCTGCAGCATGGATGCCAAACATATACCATATTGTTAAAATTCACTAAAATATGCCAAGGGCCATGAAAACTTTACACTTTCAGTAATAGTCACACATCACACACCTTGCCAATGAATTAACCATGCCCCGAAACCCTAAAAGCTAAAGTAGCTAGACACCTCTTATTCCAGGTCTTATAGAACTTCGAAAGCTTCAGCTTTGCATCAGTTAGGAATCACCCGTTCACGAGGACATTTTGGTCCTTTCAGATATTTAAAAATAAGTTGACTAAATTGGACTGTAGAAATGTGTCGAGGACAAGATTCAAAAACTATGCATACCCTCGTTGCCCAAATCTAAGCTCAAATGCCCATTCAATTCAAGGTTGGTTGGTTGAACAAACCATCAACCATATAGAGTGAATATCAAATCGCATACCCCATCTAATGTGGACTATCCAATTGGAATCCCAACTAATTAACCAGAGTGAAAGACCATACTAAATTGAGGCACTTCATATATAGTTGTATATATCTTAACTAAGGTCAAGTTTGGCCAACTTGCTTATAAGGTCAACGCATGGATGGTTAAGATGGTTAGAACAATAAAAAAGCATTTCAAGTGGTTAAATTCACATGTTTAGGCGATTCACGCTATTTTTAGGAATGGCCATTGTGATTGAAATGGTAGGAATTTGAATAGGGAAATACAGAATTGCAAATGCCATCTCTTGTGGGACCTGTAGTGTCCTTAGGTTTCAAGGCAAATGAGATGGGTAGTTCATTTTGGTTTTTCTTCAATTGTTGGGCAGTAGTTAGATTGATAAAGTACTCAAGTTACAAAGTATTTTGGCTGAAGTAGTGATCAGCCAAGTTTTTAGGACCGTGTTTGGAAGGAGTGTAAATACCGGTTCAGTGCATTATTTTTACCCCTGTCCACGATTGACAGAGAACTGGCCATTCTTAGTCTCTCTCCAAATCCACGTATCACTTGGTCAAGTTCCCAATCATAAAAATTTCTTCTGAAGTAGGGTTCCAGGAGTTCAAACTGTAACTGAACTAATAACAATATACCACCAACACCTCCTGATTCTCTGCTAGCTGAAACAACTGAGGAAAGACACTGCTAAGGGCCTATTCCCAGACCAGTTATCTTTCCAAAACTTCAGCCTCTGCCTTGTTCCCACCTTAAAGGAGATTCCTTCCCTTAAAAGTGGGGCCACCTCCATGCTTTTCTTCCAGATAGAACAGCCCAAAGGGGATGGGTCAGACCTTGTTACCCATCCACCACTCTCTGTACCATATTTCACTGCCAGCCTCTGTATCAGTTTGAAGTCAACAAAACTTGCTTCTTTATCTTATCAAGTCTTGCAGAAACTTCTTTATCTTAATTCTCCGGAAAACATTTCGTCTGTAGGCTTCCTTCCTGTAAACATCTCCATCACCATGATCCCGAAGCTATAAACATCACAGCTTGTCGAAACTCTTCCTTCAGATCCATATTCTAGTTGCACCATACCCAAGAAATCATCACATCAAACAAGAGTAAAAACAAGAAGATAGAAATCAGGGCATATGACTTCTCAATTGTAAAATTAATTAGTGTTTTGTGATTAAAAATAAGCCCCTGTAGAAGAAAGGAGGAATGATTAATGAGGATTGAGGAGCCATTATATTGCGCGCATACCCATAATCATACCAGCTGATATGAAATCATCAGCATTGGATGGGTATCCACTTAAAATAAATACCCACTTAATTGTTACTAATACATCTTCTCACTCAAATTTGATTGCTAAAAAGTGTTGGGTCATTGAATGGTCCTTTACCGAATCATGACCACTTATTTTTGCCTTCTTATCCTTTTTTTCTTTTCCATTTTAATAAAATTTTTATTTTACTTCCTAAAATATCCTGATCACCTCACCTGACCAATCCACCCTATGACCAAGTTCTATAGGCTACCAGATCCAATGTTTTAAAATGCATATGAGAGATTAACTTCATTAGTATAGTGTGGAAGAATCAAAATGGATATCATGCTCGAATAAACAATAGCAGATCGGAATTTTGTTTTTTGAAGTTAATCAAACCCATAGGTTGGGCTGCAAATGGATTGTTTAATTTTAATCACATTCAGATTTGAATCCATTTCTATCTGTGGACAGATGAGTATGACCTTTGTAGTATTTCAATTTAATGTTCATTAGGATTAAGTGGGATTTCAGATTTAGATATAAGCCTATTTTCTTACTATTTAGTTTCTAATTTTGTATTTAATCTATACATTTATACTAGTTTCGCGAATACATAAATTAAATATAATATGGAATTTATATATGTTAATAGAAAAATGTAGAATTATCTAAACCCACTTTTCATAGTAGCATTATCAATAATTGGGCCCCGTTCCCTTTTTGGTAAATTATTTATCTGGATAAGTATTTCCTGAGAAACACTTACCCAGGTAAGTGAATTTACCCATGTTCTTTTATTTATCAGGTAAACAAGGCAATGACCATTTTAGCCATAGAAATCCATTATTAAAAGGGACATCTTTGCCCCCATTCAAGTGTTGGTAGCTTTCTCCCTATGCGGGAAAGTTATTTACCCACCTAGGAGATGGGTAAATAAACTTTCCCTGCTCTTCACATAAAGCTGAAAATGAATATGGGATTCTTTGTTAATGGGAAGCAAAATCCCATTGACCAACTTTCCCCTCTCTCCAAATCCAAAAAAAGAAAACCCCCTTGGTGTAATCATAATATTTGGCTGACAAGCTTGAGAACAAGTCTGGGAATGGCCCCAAACCCCCAGTATGTGTTTGGGTGGGTAGTCCTTGGATTTGCTGAATTTCTACATTTGGGCCTGTTTTTGGTTTTGTTTTTCGTTCAGAATGTGCATTATTGGGCACTTCTGTCTAAATGGGCCTGGTTGGTTTTAGTCTCTCTTCTCTTTATTTTATTTGAGAAGGTGTTGTATCTTTTCTCTTTCTTTCAAATGATAGGAGAACTCTCAGTCTCAAAAATGATGGTGATGCAGAAAAGAGAGTAATTAGGAATTTAGGACTAGCAATTCGTGATGATGACAAGTTGCCAACTGGCTCGTTGTAGCAAAGACTTTGGGCTCAAACCCCCACTATGACCAGGGTTATGGGAGTTCGGCTTCAGTCAGGGCAAAGTTCATTTGAACAGTCTTTACTGCCATGCATTGAGAATATCTCAGTACTTGTGTGCTTTATTTTATTGGGAGATATTCTCAATGCAAGGTTGCAAAAGGCTGTTAGAACAGTGTGGGCACAGGTTTGCCCTGATAGAAGCTGATCTCGGGTTATGGGGGTCCTGGCCTTACGGGTAAGGTGGTTTTTCTTTTTTTTCTTTTTGGTACTTGGTGATACTCACAACTAATAACCCCCTCCCCAAAGTCAGTGGTTTGCAAAGAATCAATCTGT